AATCTGACAACAAAGAGACATAAGCAAGCAACTGGAACACGTAACTTAAAAAAAAAAAAGGGAATATGGGAGGTAATATGTTCAACGAAAGCAAAAAAGGCAAGCCAATATGAGTTTCAGAGAGGAATAATTCGTAGGAATGGTAATAAGAGAGGGAAAACAATTTTATAAAAAAACGAAACATGGAATGACATCTAAAATGAAAGAAATATAACACTGTCAACTGGATGAAGACAGACACTTGACAGTGAGCACAGAAAAGAATTGAAATACTATATGATAAAATATAGTTGCGACGAAGTTCCCCGTGTTGATGACATTTTAACAAAAAATCAAAAGAAAATGAGATTTTAAGAAACAATGCTACGTGCAAAATTTATACAATTTATCAAACCCAGATCAATTAACAATATTGTAAGAAAACCCCAAACTGCAACTGCTTTTAATATCTGTATGTAAAAATTCAATTTCAGGGAAATAATGGGAAGTTTAAATACTAGAGATACAAAAGATATAAAAGTAATACAAACAGTAAGTCATACTTTTATCCAACAAAAAAATAAGTTGCATCTGGCAACCCGAACTAATGAAAGCTGCTAAGTTGTTAAATGACTAATTTCAAAAAGAAAGCGCATTCACAAGGACGAGAAAAATGGAATAACGGAAAACTCGAGCACTGCACTACCTACAATCGCAGGATTCATAAGCTGAAAGACCTATTTACATTAGGATAGCCACCAGAATCAGATCCAAAATATTTTATATCCATCATTAACAAACCAGATATTATATATAAAAATCACTTGAACACTAACAGTTGAATTTTTGAATTTTCTTCCCCGCGAATTCATACCATTCCACTCAGGCCTATTCTTTGATTTAATCACAAGTGAACTTAGCGTCTATAACAAAAGTAACTTATATGTGATTTAAAATACAAAATACAGAAAATGAAATACAAACAGCACAATCAAAGAACATGCAAAGGCTCCAGTAATAATTTTTGATCTTTCAGCATGATATGGTTAAAAATTCTTTTCTCAGAAATTTGAAATACATTTTCCAAAAGTTGAATCGACAAAGCCAAAATAATTTCACTCCACCTATTTCAACCGTATTTGTTTCGTTCACTGCTGGGTAACTCGGTATTTTCATCATCTTCATTTACTGGTGATAAAGTCGTTTTCTCACTTGCTTCTTTCGATAAAGACGCTTTGAGACCTGTTGAAAGCTTCCTCGGCCTTTCTTCCAACTGTAATTTTTCTGAAAGTAATGGAAATTCACGAGAAGTTTATTGGAAACCTAACAGGAGTAAAAATATGTATCATGTCTTCAGACAGAAAGTTTACTCAATGAGCTTATTCAAAAATTTTGCGAAGATGATTTTAAAAAAGAGGAAATTTTCTAAATTATAAAATTTACCGATAGTTACTTCGCCGGGTAATATCAAGTTAGAGTATGACGACTTCCCACCAATGCTCGTTTCAATCACTAAACTGAACAAATAAATTAAAGCTTCTCTCGGTAGTTTTTCTGGTATAAGTGCTTCACAAAATGCATTGAAAAAACCCCATATGAAGCAAATTGGAAATCTAAGATCGTACTTTCCTGTAAATCTTGTTCCGAATTCTTTCGGTGCAAATAGCGTGGTGCATTTGGTGGTGAAGCAGGATCGGGTTCGCTAGTAATTAAAAAACGAGGTTTTGCTGGAAAATTCTCATCTATAGTAAAGAAAACTTTTTCAAAAAGAAGAGTTGGCTACAGTATGTAATAGCAGAATCACAAAATGAGGGAAATCTCTAAGTGAATGTAAAGCTTCAGCTAAAGAATCATTTTAATGAATGCAATAGAGTTTAAATGATCAAAAGACTTTTGTAAAACATAAAAATATAGTAAAATCATACAAGAATCGATATTGAATGTAAGCGCATCAATGTCGGAACTTTTATGTAACGCGATGGTAGTTTTTCTCGAATGTTTATCTGTTTGGTCGTAACTAGCAACATCATATGCTGTATGTCGCCTTATGCGAGCATTTTTGCAGTATGGATAAGTCATATGATATGCCTCGCTATCAAGTGCATCAAATGAATTGCCCTGTACATTAAACCCATATACTTTAAGATTCAGGAGAGATATCACTTAGGTATCATTATCATCAAAGTATAAGACTGATAGAATAACATGAAACTACTATAATAAGCCAAAAACTATGCAAAATGTCAATTTAACTTCCTCGAGCAGATGCACGTTGCTGTAGCATCGCCATTTGCTAGAGACAACCTTAATGACTTTGTTAAACTAGTTTTCTTTTTTCTTTAATACTACTTTTGATAGAGTTCATAAGGTGAAGAAGTCGGTAAGATTATGTCACATCCATCCCCCAACACTGTGTTGTATTTTAAAAAAATGAAAGGAAAAAGGAAACAAACATACTTTGTGAAAATCCTGCCGTTTGGAAGATGTACGTGGTGTGTTATCAACATCTAGCAAATGTCGGCTATATACACCAGTTGATACAGGCTTTAAAAAATATATCTTGGAACACTCGAGCAAATATTTACAAATTATGTTCTATAAACTTGAATCGACTAGTACCAGTAATCTTTTCGATCGATTTCCAAAAATAACTGTCTTGAGAGAATGATTAATAAGAAATATAAACGAGCGATACCGGAAAACTAGTACCGAATTGAGTTCATTAAATTTATCTCTTAGGAATATGCTGATTGATTCATTGCGAGGAACTTTCACTTGCATTTGCGCCGACACAATTAAACCATTGGCATCCAGATTGCTTCGTCTGTATTTCCTGGAAAATCTGCTATCCTACGTCTCTGTTTGGTTACAATTCGTTTTCAAAAATCGGAATATCAATAACAGAATCTTTTAGCAAACCTTGTAGTTTGGTAGTGTTTTTTTCTAACATAAAAGAAGTAAAATGCTAGTGTACACAAATAAGCACACTTACCGATCACCCACCATCAGTTGTGGTGTTTCCGTTGCCGCTTGTTCTAGATTCACTTTACTTTGTGCAGTTGGCAAACCAACAAAACTACCATGTACTTTCAAATGCTGCACTGCTTCTTTGACCTAAATACGAATTAGAATGATAAAGGTAAACATTAAACAAATCTAAAACCAGCTAATAGCATCGTACCTGAATGTGTTCATGATAATCAACTAGACGATCTGCTCCAGATTTTGCATTACTCATTAAGTAGGGTTTCACGTGATTCTCCGCAAACTTATTGAATGCCTGACGATACTGAAAAATTTTCTTATACAGCTCGAGAAAAGTTTGCTGAGAACGAAGCAAATTTTGAAACAGAAAAAAAAAGCTTACCCAGTACTGGCCACGATAACCAGTTATTCCTTCTACACCAGTCATCATATTATTGATCACCTTAATAAAAAATGGGAATTACGATGTTGGTATTTTACGATATCAAAAAACAGTTGAAGAATAACAAGAAAATTAGATCAAGAAAAAAACTTAAAAAACCTACATTTTCGCTGACCATTTCGAAAACAGTTTTCTTGTGCACTTCGTTCTGTTTAACTTCTAATAATTTTACTAGCTGTTTGATTGTTCCACCCTGCCAATAAAAATTTTTGAAGTGGCAGAACTGGACGTAATTAACGGATGCGTTTTTCTACATGATATTTTTCTTTCATGTTATATAATGCTAACATTGAGAAATTACGACCAATTTTACAGTAGAAATGACATCAAAATCTAACCCATTTTAAAAATGACTTATCATACCTGTGCAAAAACAGTGAACAATATGACAACAACAGTACAGGATGCGAACATGTTTTTAGCCTTTACCGACTGAAATTTTCAAAACAATTTTCATCTAGCTAGCAATAAAATTTCCAAGTTCAAAATTGGTGAAGTGTAACAAAATACCACAAAGTTTTTTGAAGTTTGTGGATCTGTAGAACCATGTTAAGCATAGTATATTGTGACGAGAGGACAATTACGACAAGGCAATATGAGATAGGAATAATATGAATTGAAATGAAATAAACTGGATTGAAAGCAAACTAACTGAAGGGTCAAGTGACATTACAAGACCATAACATACAGCACCTCGAATACCGCCATAACTCATGATAAATTGATCAACCAGGTCAATCTTCTGCACTCGATGTACATTTAAAAGATAAGTAAGGGAGAAAACTCCTGAAGAAAAATGAACAGCAACATCATACAGCACGAAAAAAAAAACATAAAACTTGATGCATTTCATCTAACTCGAAAAAATTGCGTGTCGACTGAGTGAGTCGACACCAGTAAATATTCGATTCTTGCGAAATTTTTTTAAAATAAAAGAAAAAACGCTATACCAATAAACCGTTGAATAAAACAACTAATTAAAGTGCCAACAATGAACACAGCATCCCAATCGTGATTTTTTGAAACAGCCGATATGCCAAGATAGACGAAAATTAGGGCTTCACAACTAAAAACCTAAGGATATATATCGATCTGCTTAACAAATCAGAAGTAAGTTTATGTCAAAATTTTTAATTTAAATTTATGGAAATTAAACCTTGATGAGAGTGTTTTCATGAAGTATTGCACAGTAACAAGCGATTTCCGTGATAAATTGCCCACAACAAATTGCTTCATGGTTAGTCCACATATAACGATTCTGTAAATTAAAAACTATAATGCCAATTCAAAATGAAGATTAATTTTGTTAATCGAAATAAGTGTTAAGTTGTAAACGAACGCTAAAATGCCGGACATAGCAACCACTTCTGCTGTTAAGTATGCAAGGTACGGAAAAAGCAAGCATATTAGCGGCTGGACAACATTCAGATGTTGAGAATGTCTGAAAGTTTTTTTGTAAATTTAAACAAGCCATATATTCGGCACAGAGCTACAAGTAATGAGTTATTTGCATTTGCTTGACGAACTAAAAAAAACTTGTAAATGGCAACTTTATACTTGTTTATTACTTCATAACACACTCTTAGATACTAAAGGTAAATTACTTGGTTGTGAAGCCAGTAAAAACAGCCCAAATCAACCCGATTAGCAAACCACCAAACGAAACAACAAAAAATGAAGAAGCAGCTGTAGCATAATCTGCACCCGTAAGACTACCTGCATCTACCATAGCATTGAAGGTTTGATAGAGTACCTTAAAATTTAACTGTAGTTATTTAAAATGGTAATTTGCTCATCCAATTATTTATGATTGTGTACATCGGAATCCCACAATCTTCTATCAGCGTCCAAAACTTATGGGAACAACTGCTTTTGTTCAATATTTAAAATCTTACAATTGTTACGGCATCATTTAACAATGATTCACCAAACACACAGATATAAAGAAGCTGATTAACATGAATTTCTTCAAATACACAAAGAACAGCTACTGGATCCACAGCAGATATTAACGTTGAAAACAGCAATAGTTCGATCAACGAAGTATGCACTTTGAAGTAATCATGTAAAAAATACAACGTCATTCCTGTAAAGAAATATGAATGTAGTACCTAGATATGGGGACAAGAAAATTGAGATATAACACTTTGGATATAGCATTTCCACATGTGTCATCATATTACAGATGGACTTCCTCTAATAAAAACCAAGTAGCTAATTCTCAAGTTAATTTGAAATTACTTAGTGCCCTAATTTTCATTTTACACTTCGAAAATAACATTGCCACAGTAAAATATTTTGAGTGGGACAAACTCTCATTAAAAGACAAATTGAAGACAGGAGAAACAAGGAAATTCCGATATACTGACACAATGACACTATTTGCAAATTAGAAATTACCGATAGCGAAGACATTCCATAATGTTCCAACAACTGCGTAAGTCATTATAGTTCCAATATTCCTATAATTGAAAACTAATGAGATTGTAAAACACTAAAGGACTCTAAAAGTGATGAAGAAGGTAAAAGACCTGAATGACTACCTGAAAAAGTCTTTATTAGGCATGAAGTAACCAGCATCAAGCGCAATAGGTGGCAAGAGATATAAGAAGAACCAGTCTGGTTTGAGATACATCTGCTGAAAGATGGTTAAAAGCAGAGGAATTTATGACTTTGTTCCTGCTTTGATTTTACACATGATTCGTAATGTTACTTGCAGGATAGTCAGAACAAAGATAGAAGTAAGAAAATAATTTCTGCTAAATAGAAAAGCAAGGGTACAAAACCAAAAATAGTCCTCAGTCAAGCAGAAAAATCATACCTCATCCGGATAAATGAGATGAAAGACATAGCCAAAAAATAAGCCAAGAACAATTAGTAATGCTGAGTCGGGTAATAAACTATGGATACTTCGAAAACGATGGAAGACTGCAATTTTACAGCTAAATAAAATTCTAATCATTACTACATGGAAATATTTCGTTGAAATCTTAACAAAAATTAGTTAATTCTAACTTAATCATCGGTATTTGTTAGCAAATAAAAATACTAACTAATTTTCATAATGGTAACCGTAAAGAACCAAAAAGCAATAGCAAGCGGTGCGCTAACATGTTCCCAATGCAACTTAAATAATGATATCCCGTGACGTCTGTGAGCAACATCATCATGACCTGTACTTGACAATATCACTTCTTCATCCTCTTTTTCTTTGTTCTATAATCAATGATTTTTTTCACTTGATTATGCTTATTAAATGTTTTTTTAAATATTAAATGTTCCTTATCAACAGGAACAATTTTATGATAGCTAAAAGCTAAAAAGTTGACATTAATGTAGGATGAAATATAAGCAAGAGAGAAAAAAAAAAGAAAAAAAAGAAAACTCCTTTTATCAATCAGCAGGGCACATCAAATAATTTCAAACAATGACGGCCAAAACTATCATTCGATCATTCTATGCCAAAATTTTCCTTTCAACTATAACTTTGCCAGTCAGATTTCATACGAATAAAAATGAAGTATGATGTAACTCATAGAATAGAACATTTTCAGTTAGCAAATGCATTTGAATTCAGAAGGGTCAGAAACCAAAACATTTTACTCCTTACTTTAGCTGCAGCATGCTCTTTGTCACCATCACCGCTATGAGCTAATTTTTCTCCACATATTCCCACTCCCTAGTAACAATGATCTTTAAAACTTATATCGATTTCATTCCCTTCTTTAGCCGTAATATCATCCCTATTAATCACTACTATAAATACAAAAATCTCGACCAACTTCCCTTAATTATTGGCATGTATTCCGTAATTTTATTCGGTAGCGGCATTTCTATTAAGATTTTCTGTCCGGTGATAGGAAGTACAAAAATCAGACTTCACGATGTTCTAAAATGAACATCACACCGTGAGATGTGACAAAGCACTTTCAAATGTGTCAACTATTCTCGAGTTAATTTGGATTTACCTAAAAATGCCATAATTCTCACTTCACACTTCGGAAGTAACATTTCTATCACAATACGAAGACTGCCAGAAAAATTCTCATTCAATGACAAATTTAAGTCATGCAGATTTTAGTGCATAAAATTTTGTATATGTCAGTCATGTAATTGCTTTTTACTGTTCTCGAGGGTCAATGAGCCAGATCGGTTTCCCAGGAAGATGATGCTACCCTGGAAACCATCCAAATAACAATCTAGAGAAAAGTTCAGGTCTGCAAATGAATAATAAGAAATAAACCAATGAATTGATAAGCAACTTAGCGTAACTTAAAAGTATCGAATCCTTCGTCTGGTGCGCTTTTTATGACGACTATTTTAGAACATGCAAAAAGTGCTGCCAATAGCACGATAACATTTGTCAGTTGTAGAGATCTCCGTGACAAAATCATTTGTGCAATCCTGAAACTAACCGGACGATTTATTCAAATCCTTAAAACGTAAACAGAAAATAGCCACAAGCAAATAACACTTTCCGCAAATGAAAATGAAGGTGTAACATTTCATAAAGTAGTTCCGATGTTAGTGTCTAACTGCGCTAACATCTGTTTAATCCGGCAGCGTAGTATAACAGCTTGTAAAAATCCCGGCTATTACCAACCATTATGACCGATTAAATTCAAAACTGCTTGCCCTTTGGTCCTTTGTTTGATCTCTTATCTGAATTTTCGTAACTAGGATGACAAAGGGGAGCCAGGGTAAGAAGCGCTTGTTGATCGCCAGTGGGTTGGCTTGCTCATATACAAGTAATAATCCAACACTCTGAAACAGATTTCTAAATCAACCAGGACTAAGAACTGTGTATAGCGCTAAATGGCTCCCAACTCAGCATTTTGGATGGTTCATTCATCTCATATAATGAATTATATCGCTGATAATGTCAAGTATTTTTGGTTCTGTGGAGGTCAGGTCCTCAGGATGTCAACAGAGAATAGATGGATGAGAAGTGAATATTGTCCGAAGCTTTTTATCGATAATGCTAATATTATTGGCCAGGACAATACTGAATTTTTTGCTTTTCCTTTTTTTTCTAAAATCTCTGTCACAATCAAATAACTCCCTTTCAGGAAATCAAAACATCACTTTTCATTTATATCAGAATATTGTTGAAGATAAGTCAAATACCGCTCTATTGATATAGACAGGTCAAATACCGCTCTGAAATGGTTAACGAAGCTAATATTAGAATTTTTAAACTGAAAAATGGATTTTGCAAGATGTCAAAGATACATTTCGAATCCTGATAGTTAACGCAAGATTTAGAATGCTTGAAAAATTGCTGAAAATCATATCGATATAAATAGCTATTAAAGTACTTTAAAAACAAATTGATGTTCATTATTTCAAAACTTTAACGATAGAAACGATAATTACAGTGTGATCCATGCTTAGAGCACATTCATTACCGGAAGAACCCTGGACGGTCAGAGAACCAGCTGTCAATGAATACAATGTCTGTGAACATACATTTTTTCAGACGAATTTCGTGCTCGCTATGCATGATTTAAATGCATTGAGAAATATCCCTTCCTTCTCGTTTGATATTACTTCCCTCCCCTTTGGCTTCCTCCATGTTAAAGTACTTCCACTCTATTATTAATTACCTTGTAGGGAAAATTATCTGGCCTGTGACGTCCTCCATTTATATCAAATGATAGCAGCAATAGATAAAGTACTGAAAAGAACAGAGGTAAAATGTATGGATGATGGAACATTGTTCGTGATATCTACTTACAAAGCTAAATCCTCACGTAAATTTCTTGGTACGAGATTCAAGCTTGACAAAAATCCCCTGCTACTGAGAATATGAAAGCTTAACAGAAAAAAAAAAGAAACAATTAATGTAGCCAAATAGCCAGACAACGACAACTAGATCATCACAAGTACCATAAATGGAAAATGGAAAATGATTGATTCTCAGACGTTTATACCACTCAAAATTATTTAGAATTAAATTTATGCCTTGGACGAAACCTTTCT